ATTCTCTCCCTCACCCCACCAGGGAGGAGTGAGCGAGTGGCTGTGGGGCTTAGTTGCTGGCTGGGGTTAAACCATAATAACTATATACCCACGAAAGTACGGTTAAGGATATCCTAACTATTATCCTCACAGCTCACGAACTTCCAAACATCAGTTATCATGGAACAATATAGAAAGCTTTCCAGATATTCTACCTGTGCAAACTTGATATCTGAGAGTAAATACTAACAAATCAAATCAAAGGTGTAATAATGATGTAGAAACTGTAATAAACAATCTACGCTTCTACTGGGGAAAAATACTAACTCAAAAGTCACATTGGCTTGCCAGAAAACAAGTTTGGGGTGATAAATACTGGTTTGTGGTTGTAGGTTTGTAGCTTTACATTCAGCTGAGCCATCAATGCCTTTGAACAGCTAAGACTGATAAAAGCGTGGTCCAGTGAAAACAAATGAGGATAAGGTCTGAGCTTTGCACCTGGCAACTGATAAACTCCTTTACATGGCTTTGAGCCTCATGCTTCCTCTTCCCCTTCTGCAAAATGCTTTGAAAACTACAGATGAAAAGCCTATGTTTATTACGCATTGTATTGAAGCCTTATACTCCAAAATAAGATACAAAGTAAAAGTAAATTAGCAGCCAAATTCTCAGGTGGTAAACAGCAGCCTTCCCCCCATCCCAGCTGGTAATTTTCTCAAACCAAGAGGCCAGCTCACAAACCACTTCTTATTTACTTTTCACTTCTGGCAGGAAACTTCTCAAAAACGGCTTGCAAAGCTGTGATATGTCAAAGCCTCCACCTCCAAAAGCAACTAACATCCCTGGCCACATCCAACAGAGCGGAGGCCAAGCCCGCGAGCGAGCCCTGTCCTGGCAGACCCACCGTGCCACCGTGGGGCGGGCCGGGGCAGCACTTGCAAAAGGGCCTGGGACAATCAATCTCTGCTGAGGATCTGCCCCAGTTTCTTCCAAATACAGACTCTGATAGCCCAGCAGCTTGGCACAGCTCTCACGTCAGCCATGTCATACAACTGCCAAAGTGGGAGCTGCGTCTGAGGTGCTTGTGAATTCTGGGCAGCTCATGTTGGTCACTTCTTGCTATGACTACCCAGCAGTTCCAAAGAAAATAAGATCTGTGTAAGGGGATGCAAGCAGGATCAGACCTTTTGAGTGGTAAATCAATTGACACACAGTTTGTCTGAAGATGAATGTTTCTCTAATGTCTGTTGCAAAGTAAAAATATCTTTTCTTGATGATTCTTTTTCCACGCTAAAGAACATCCGTGGGTGGGAGAACAGAGCTGAAGCAATTCTATTTTTTTCCTCCTGTCACTATTGTAGCAGCTCTAAACTCCAGCATGAAATAGAAATTAAGCACTTGCAAGAGGTTTCCAGCAAGTGAACTGAACAGCACTGTTTTCTTACCTCTTTTGTCATCATTTTTATCCAGATGCATATTATATTCAAATAATTTCAGCACTGTTATGCTCACCCTCAGAATCTGGCCTTCCAAACACAGAGGCAGAAGTGGGGTTTTTATTGCCAAACGGATGGTGTGTTATTTGCAAAAACTTCTTCGCTGTTAGCGTTGTAAGTTGAGTCACGCTTTAGTTAAGTTAGGACCAAAGTCCCTATGAATTTAATAAGAATATATTTATCCCACAGGATTAGACTAAACAACAGCCTCTCAGAGTAAGCAGTGCCTCAGAAAACCTCTGCAACATTGCTGGACTCTGAAACTCTACAGAGCTCGGCAAGGGCTTTCTCCTGTCCCAGTGCCCTGCTACTACACTACACTTCAAGTGGAGATGATACATCATCCCTTTTGTTCTAGATGGGGAAAGGCGTGGGATACTGACACCTAGTATCAGGACAAGTAGGCGATCCCAGCATCCTCCTAGGGAAGGAACAATTTTCATACACTCAGAAGCCAGGCAGAAAACAGCCCACAGCTTCTGAACCAGGGTGCCCAAAACAGAAACAGCAGGAAGTGTGGGAAGACTCATCATAAAAGGAGATTTCCTCGCCTCCTCCTCCTTCCCTTGAGCAAGCTGACTCATGGTTTCTCAGCAGCACAGGCATGGAGTCTTTCCCAGCAATGGCAAAGCATCCATCCTGGAGTGGCTGTAACGAAACTCCAGTGGGTTGAAAGGGGATGACAGAAAAATTGAATTTTTTTGAAAGATAGGAGGCTAGGGGGAGCTAGTTTCAAGAGGGATCAGAAAGGTCTTATCAGGTGGTAAGAAGGGCTGGGCACCTCTTGCCCTCCAGTATCCTACCTGCTCCCATACACCTCCAGTATTCCTCCAGCAGAGAGACCTCCAGCAGAACCTGAAGAGCCACGCTGCATCCCGCGCTCTGAGCATCCATTCTGCCCTCACCCCCGTGTGCTTCCCTGCCTGCCGCAGAGGAAGGAGGGGTAAGGCCAGTACACTTCGTTCCTTGCCACCACGGAAGGAGCAAGCATTAAAAAGAAGAAATTTTTCTGGCTGGGGAAGCAGGCAGAGGAACTCTCTCCATACAGGACGCTATCCAAACGCAGATTACCCCAACAGGTCCTATGCTTTGTACATAAACATAAATCAAGAATTGCCTTGTTCTTAGCTTAAGAGGGAAGCCATTTATGCTCATTTTCAGTGAAATATGAATATGTATTAATTTACACTCAAGTGCCTCTTGTTATTTTGAGACAATTTTCTCTAATGCTTTGCTGTGTTGCAAAAGTCGTTACTTTATAGGGTTGTCTGTGACGACTCAGGACTTCCTTCCCATGCTCTCTTCTTATTTGCTAGATAAACTTACTTATTTATTCAGGTTTAAACATTACACAGAGCCAGGTCCATGCTCTGTTAAAACCATGGAAAACACAGGTGTCCAGTTAAACCTGTCCAATAACAAATATTTGACATGGTTCATAGATCTCTATCTGAGATACTACAATCTTGCAGACTGACTTTGATTTTACATGTATAAGGGGAAAGGATCAAGGTTTGCTCATATGAAGAGAGAGGACAGGTGCTTTCAGACAGAGACAAAAATGTTCACAAACAACCACAGGTACTCCCAAAAGAGTAATGGTTTCAGAGAGCGTTTGTGCGAGCAGCCCTAAAGACGCAGACAGAACAATCAGTCTCCTGTGTGCATGAACTCCTCAACCCAGCAGCTGCGGATCTGAGAGCAGATCTGAAAATGCCTTTTCACACTCTTCATCTCGCAAGTCAGTACCAAACACACATCTACAGATTTATTTCCCAGATTTCCCAAGGTAAGAATAACCCCGGCACATTTTACTGACCACAGACTCAAAGGTAGGTAACACCAAATGGATTCACTAATGTTTGTAGGATATGATGAAGAAATAAAAAAAGAAACAGAGGCATGAGTGCTCCCAAATTGCAAAACAGGGCATCAGAAGAGGCACTAAGGTTTTCTGTTCACTGCATTTCCAACTCAAGCATGATTTTCTTGAAACTCCTGACACAGTCAAAGCGCTGACAGCTGTCATATATGGACAGTTATTTCTCTTGGTGAACTTTCTCACTTCTGAAATCTTGACAAATGCAGGTGCTAAGCCAAAAAAATCTAGTATTACTTATTATTCTATATTGACCTCAGTGAAGAAACTACTCTCGGTGTATCGCCCAGGATTAAGGATATAGCCACAATAAATAGACTACATTCACCATGTAAGTGTACAGTTATGAACATGGGCCATATGCCGTCCATATCTGTCTGAGTCTGTAGTACAGAAATACTAGCTGAACACAGATCATCTGCCAAACAAGAGAGAACTATTTTCGGAAGATCTGTAGAACTTCAGAGAGCTCAGGTTTCACTAGACCACTGTCCAAGGACAATGTCTTCACTCAGGATTCAGATTTCATGTTAGTCATGAGTAGTCATAACTCATCTAAAATATTTGCAGGCTTATCAAATCTCTCCTTAGTTGAGAACCTCCAAAGCAATATATCACTGAAGAACACAAGATTTGTCCTCACGGGGCTTAAAGATTCATCAGTCTTTCAAGATATTGTATTATACTTTATTTCTTTTAAGCGTGGGTCAGAACAGAACCCTCAGGCAAAATATGAAAGATCTGCAAATTCTTGTCTCAGAGGGCTTTTTAATCCATTCATGCCCTATACCCTAACACAAACAAGAATAGAGAAAGGTTTATTTCTCTTTAAAACTTATCTAGATGACAATCTTGTACTTTCAGTGATAGCTTATTACCTCCTTTGCAGAGAGACAAACTTTTCACCCTTGGCACTTCATTTAGATATGGTGAGGTCAGAAGTCTGGCAGAAATATCTTTCCTAATACGTATTTCACAATGATCAATAAGAGAAACAGAAAGGAAACAAAAGGTATTGGAATAAAAATAGAAGAAACCCAATGGCAAAAACGGCACACAATCCTGTAGGGGTCTTGCAGATTATTTTTAGGATTTAAAAAAACCCAGTGTAAAGCAGTTGTTTAGATGAAGTGCAACACTTGGCTTGATGAGAAGAATTCCAGCCGAGCTCTGCCCAGGCGACCCGGGGCCTCTGCCACCCTCGGCCAGCAGACAGAAGAACACTTGTTTTCCACATCCCCAACTAATTTAATTCTCAGGACTGAGCAGCTTGAAAAAGTACTATTCATATTCCATGCCACCTTGCTTCCCTATCTGTAAAAAAAATGTAAGCGACAATAAATTCAGGGCTATTTTTAACTTAAAAGTGTGTATGTTACTATACTTTCAGCATACAAATAAAATCTGGTGGCATTAATTTGACAATTTCTAAAATCTAAATTTCAAATACAAAATAACACTGAGGAAGGCATCGTTGCCCATGAAAACAGAAGTATGCAGATTTTGTGGAAAGCTAAGATTTCCAAAGCATTTTTTTAATAGTTTATGTTTACAACATTAAAGTGCATATTTATTTATGAAAGAAATTATTAAAATGACTTTTGCTAAGGATTCCTGCACTTCAAATTACATTGCTTTAAAATTACTGAAGGGAACAACTTTTGTTTCTCTTTGTTCTGTTCTTTTAATCACTTACTGATATGCAGACAAACTTCATTTCATTCTAATGTGGCCAGACCATCAAAGCCTCCATTCCCTCTCTCCCCTAAGAGGTCTTTCTTCCTCAAATCTTTCTGATTTGCCTATCAGATTCTCTCCTCCTTCCCAATTTTCTTCTGCACAAAGGGCGCAGGAGCAACAGCCCAGGGGTCACCAGGAACAGTAATGTTCATTTGCCTTGCAATCTCCTTGCCAGTAACACAATAAGGAAGCACAAGAAGTAATATTAGGCCAGTATCTAAGCTGAGATATTTACAAATTTTTATAATTAGACAATTTATTATCAAAAATCACTTTAATTGAGTTTATTATGAAGAGCTTAACTTAATTACTTGTACAACATTAACTCAGGCAAGAGTGGGACTCCCTGTGCTTTGCACAGATACGTATTACAAGAGTACCTACCCAAGCAAAGCTACAATCTCATTCGATCAAGGTCTCATTCTACAGAAACACACAAATAGGCAGCAAAACTGGACTAAAACTCATGGATTTAGGTATGAGATCCTGCATGGAAGCAGGGAGGGAATGTCCATATCAGCACTCTGCAAATACATAATGCATAAAATGATGTGGCTTTTCTGACTTTAATGTAGATTCACCTATATATGTTGGACAGATGACTGACCTAGACCTTCCAATTATTTTCCATCCTGCTAGGATGGGTGACCTGACAGCGACAGCCTAAAACTCAGGTCCTATGCTCTGATAGGAGGCACTAAGATGATCTTTTCGAACTCCTCCAGATAACCACTGATAAATCCTCACCATGGTAACTAATACCGTAGGAGACTAAACAGTGAAAGAAGTGTAATAGCTTTCAATAAATATTTCTGTACAATAAAAACTGCTACACAACTAGGACCAGTTTTCCCCCAGTTTTCAGTCAATGCCAATGACTGAGAAACAAAGTATATGGCAAAGCAAGTTTGACGTAAGTTGTGAGGGAGGCCTACTACTGCTCCATCCCCTCAGTTTATTCAGTCCTTCTAAAACTTACTTCGGCAGCACTTCCACCAGGGACTTTTTTGCCTCTAGGTGGGAGAGAAAAACAAACTTCAGCTGAAAATTGCACTTCACAATTAAAATCCTCCCTGGGCTATACTTCCAAATATTATAGAGTACTTACCCAAACGCACTAAAGGGGATGAGATGCATAAGCCTCATTAAAGAATAAACAGACTTCTGTATTAACTTAATATTCTCCCTCTTTTCCCATTCATATTAAGACACAGAATTAACAATTCCCATCTAAGTGTCAGTGGTAGTAAATAATAAAAAATAATAATAATGCTAGTGCAGGCACAGGAAACTCTCCAGAACCTGGGGGTATAGAAGGTATATTTATTATTCCCCTAAGACTTGTCACATAGGCTATATTGGTCAAGTGAGGAAATAAAGCACAAAACCCAAATCCCACTGTCCCCATAATAATTAAATTATAATATTAGTGCAAAGCTATTAAGGCTATTTATTATGATCCTCCTAGAATTCCAAACAATTGTTCACATTTTGCCTACTTAGATATATATTAAAACGGATCCTAGCTAAAATATTGTTTTGGTTACTTTGGAGTCCATTCATTAGCAGAACCCCTACCTTCTCCATGCATTATTAAAATTCCTTTCTTAATGAATCTTTCTACACAATATATTATTGACACAACTCAAACACAAGAATATACTGTGTCAACAATGCTCAATTATCTTCATTACACAGCAATGCAGAACTGAAACAAAAGCTACAGCACTGCATCATTTAATACGGCATGCCAGGCTAAATGGTCCCACTTCAATAAATAGGCTAGAAATCATGGATTTAAAAGAGAAGAACACCTATTGATTCAATACAGGAATCTGAAAGGCTTACACAAAAAGAGAGATTTTTCCCTGAGGAAAACAGAACAGCTGACGAGAGAACGCATGGAGAAAAACAGCTTATTTTGATCATTCACCCTTCACATAGTCAAACATCACCGAATCAAATGACCAAAGCCAGAAGGCAAAAATATGAGGCAGTAAATGCAAAAAGAATAAAAAGCTATATTAAATCAAGAAAGTTAGAGAGTTGTATTAAGTAATATACTCTTCACACCAATTCCACCGATTGGAGGAGAAGCACCAGTTCCAGGTAAGTACCTAAAGCTAGGTGAAATACATCTGTGTTCGTGTCAAGAAACCCTACAAAATTTGAAGACATGCACTGAGAAATGAAGGCACGCCCTTGCACAAAGACATATACATGTGAAATGAATCTTGGCTGAGGGCCCGGTCTGC